TGAAGGCGGCGGCTACGTAGGCGGGCGCCCAGAAACAACTTGGGGAGGGACCTGGGATGTTGTTGAGGGGGGGGAAGGGGGGGGAGAATTTTTGTGTGTGTGTGTGTGTAAAAAAGTATATGGGCTTGTGTGTGTGAGAGAGAGGTCTCACATCAACACTTAGAGGTCATGTTCCTATTTTTCTTCTTTTTATATTTAGAGAGAATAGAATATGAGCCCGTGAGGGAGAGGGGGGCCTAACATCGAATGCTTGGAGGTCATCTTTTTCTTTTCCTTTTTCTTATACCTAGAGCGAGTGCATATGGGCCCATATGTGCGTTTGTGTATGTGTGTGACTGTGTGTGAGAGATATCCTCCAGTGTTTTAAAATGCAGGATGCGACCCTGATGCGGTGGGGGGCCGATGCGGCTCAGATGAGGTCAATAAATGTAAAAAAATTCTTAAAAATAAGTTAATACATAAAAAAAATATGAAGGTGATATATGTGATAGTAGGTATTTTAGTTTAATGATTAACTTCAAAACTATTAGTCGGAGATTCTGTATCCAGTTATCCACCCATATAAGTATTTCCACAGAGTAAGCATATCACACAATTTCTATCTTTGGGATTTTTTAGCTTAGCATATTTCCAAGCTGGATCCTTATTACTAGAAGATTGGGAAGAAGACATTGCCCCAAAAATATGTATAATAGTAAAATTGTACAAGAAGAAAAAAAAAATTTACCGACTCTGTGAAGTACTGCTCGATTTCTTTACGACCCCTAACATCTCCAAATCAACAATCAAAAGCATCCAATGAACATCCAAGTATCAAACAACTGCCAAATCGAAGATTTCGATAAAAAAAAAATTCCGCCTAAATTTTTTTTATCTCAATTTGATGCATAAAAAGCCACAAAAGTGGCTGAAAATCTTCGTTTAGGGCCCCTAATACTAACCCCCCAAACAGTTTCGGAAACATTTGGATGGTCAAAAAGACCATTTTGCCCCTCATAGAGGGGCAAAACATAAATTTTTTTTGGCGGACACTGTAGCAGGGATGCGGTGCGATGCGGCCTATGCGGGATGCAATTACGATGCGCCTGATGCGGCACATATGTGGCCGCATTTGTCAAAAGCGCATATGCACCTGTTTCTGATGCGGATGCGAGCGCATCCCGCATGATGCGGCCGCATTTTAAAACACTGATATCCTCGCATCGAACACTTGGAGGACATCTTCTTTTTCCTCTTCTTCCTATATGTGGAGAGAGAGAGAGAGAGAGAGAGAGAGAGAGAGCACATGGGCGTGAGCAAGAGAGAAGGACCTTGAGCCCTTAGTCATTTTTGTAGGCCTTAACTATTTTTTTTATTTTTTTAAGGGGTGTTACACTTTTATTCTTTTGGGGTGGCACTAGGCGCATAGGCGTTTGGAGGCTAGATTTGCCCCCCAAAACTCATTTCCCCCCTTTCCAGGGGAAATTACTTTTTTGCCCTTGGCCAATGGCCTTTTTCCGCTCTCAACCAATGTGCTTCAAGGCACTGCCTACACGGTGACTTGGCTGCCTAAGTGGGCTCCTAGGAGCAACTATACCAATTGGTATTCACCTACGTGCAGCCCATTTTCGAACTATGCATATGTATGTGGTTACAATTGCCTGATTGTTGTGTTTAACTGTCAAAATTATAATCAAGAACATAATATTAGAATAGGCACCTTTTTGGTTAAATACAAGGCCTTAAACACCTGTTTGAGATAAAAAGTTACGAACCACAATCAATTATTTCTACTTTCAAGCATTTTGATGCAAGAAATCCATTCCTTTATCCAACTTCCATGGCACAAAGGTCTGAATTTGCTTTTTGTTCTATGTCAACAAATTCTAGCAGCAGAATAATTTACCATAAAATGGACCAATTGATGTGAAAAAAACCTCCATATCTCTTGACATTGGGAATTTCCTTCATATGAAAATGTTTCCATGTAAACTTTTCCATATGAACCAAATGTACCATAAGGTTTTCTAAGAAGATTTTGAAAAATTGGGGGATAGCAGACCCTTTCACCAATTCCCGAAATGCTTCTTGGCGAGGGAGCAACGGCTAGCAATAGTCCGGGCCTGGACGGGGCCAACTTTGGCCCTAGCCTTGTCAAGGCAGGTCAGGGCAGGGCAGTGGGCCACAGATATTTTAAAAATAACAAGAGAAAACGAATAAGGAAAAAAAGGGCCGGGGCCGGCCCGGTTGTGGCCCTTCTCCAGGCCCAGGCAGAGGCCCAGCCCTGCCCTCGGGTCACATGTTCTGGACCAGGCTTGCTTTTTAGGGCTGGATCAGGCCACTCCTAGCAACTGCAAAACCATCAAGGGGCTTATCTTGGCATGGATGGTGTCATTCATGATCCTGGTGATGAAAGCATCCGTTTAACATGTAAAGTATATCAAAAGCAATAGTCATTATCAACTCACAAAATATCTGAAGGGTATAGCTAGGGGAGCTTAATAAGATAATGCATCGCATGGAATTCAGTGTGTGCTTTCGTAGCAGAAAATTGAAAGTAGTTAGGTATGGAAGCATAATAAAGTATAATGATAAACATTCTTGGGTTGACTCAAAGTCCCTAACAAAAGAAACCTTGATGGTGGATCCTAATTATGGTGCGTGCATGACTTTATAAATGTTCTACCAATTCTAGATTTCATAGGATCACTTCAAAAATGACTCGTGTATACAAACCCTTATGAGGTGCGCATGCCCCTGTGAAAGTTTTAAAACCTTATTGAGTGTTCTTTTCTGCCGGCGCTGGGGGATATTTTTGTGGGGGCAGGGGTGGGGGGCACAGGTGCATGAATTTTCAGCTTGGCTTTTCATAAATGCACTCTCTGAAATTCTTCTGTTTTCTCATAGGATGTCAAGTATAAAGGATCCATTTGTTTCCTTTTTATGTTTGTAGAACCTGAAGGATATGCCTCCTCTGTTCTCAACCTACTTCCTGCCTTGTTCTTAGCATGTTATTCATTCTATGGTCTGTCTTATTATTCAAACAGTGTTGAAGTTATTGTGCTGCTGTTTGGCTTGCAAGATTAATTGTTACAGCCTTTTACTAAAAGAAATATCACATTCTCTTTCGTTCCATACATCTTTGTCAATATTACTATGTATTGATGATGCAGTTTGAAGCATTCCCTGCAACTTCTATGATAGTTCTTACTTAGTGAGCTAAACTGTTGTTTTCCAAGTTGACATCTTTTTTTGTAATCAATATGAAAATGCATGTGGATGAGCGCTTGTCAATAGTTAACTTTTCTGGGACAGGATTCTATATTCCATTTTTGGTCATGGCTCATGACCACTCAACGAATGATGGATGTGATGGAGAGATAATGGGACACATCATTGGCATCATATCTTTCTTTGGTGGGTCCCACTCTACCATCATGCATCATTTCATTGGACAGTCATAACCAGTGGACTATGGTTATTTACTTTCAATGGTTTCTTTTCAATAATGATCGTATCAACATATCATCCATACGTGTATGGATTTTAGTAATTTATTGCCTTTTAAATCAGGGTGTAGTTTACATGAGGTGGCAACCTTACTTGTAGAAGTTTGTGGTGTTTCACATTTTCCATTTTAGTTGTCCGGGGTAAATTTGATAGTATCAAATCCTTCACGCTTTTCAAGATAGCGTGACATCTAAACTATTTGACTAAAATGGACAATATAGATTATTGCAACCTTACTTCTACAAGTAAGGTTGCTACCTTATATAATCTTTCCCTTTGAACATTCAATGTAAATTCAACGCCTTCGAAATGTTCATTCCAGGAAGCTAGAGCTCTTCTGGGCAGGCTTGAGTATCAGAGAGGAAACATTGAAGCTGCTTTTCGGGTATTCGATGGGATAGACCTTCAAGCTGCTATACAGCGGTTACAACCTACAATTCCTGAGAAATCCCACTCCAGACGAGGTCGCTCTCGTAGTGAATCAGTGCATTCGGTTTCACAACATGCAGCTAGCTTGGTGCTTGAAGCCATTTATTTGAAATCTATGTGCCTCCAAATGCTTGGGAGAGTAAGTGGTATGTAAATTATTGTCATCATCATCTAACTAATTCATCTCTTTTTTCTTTTTCTTTTTTAATTCTATAATATAATATGATTTAATGACCTTTTGGTAAAATTAAATTCCAATATGCCATCACTGTCCAATGAAATGATGAATGGTGATTGAAAGAGAGTGGGACCCACCATTGGAGTGTTTTATTGTTCTTGTAGCTCTCTCTCTCTCTCTCTCTCTCTCTCTCTCTCTCTCCTCTCCTCCTCCTCCTCCTCTCTCTCTC